AATGTCTAGTACTAGTACTGTATACCAGGGCATATGAGTGTAACAAATCTTAGGAACTTTCTTGAAAACTTGTTACTGTTTCCGTGAAATGTACAAATCTTTGTGGCCACACCAGCAGAGTGTGTTGTCAATATATCCATGAAACAGCAAAAGCAAAATCTTTGAGATCTTTCAAATTACCAGTCTAGTAGCTGCCTCTGTGAAATTCATAATTCATTGCAATCTTTCTGGTGGAGCATCTACATGCTGCCTCTGTGAAATTAATGAATCTACATTCCCTCAGTGGAATTATAAATCTTTATGACCCGCTCTTCTGGAGACAGTCTGGTCGTTGTCTTTGTGACATTTATAAATCTTTGTGACCCTTCTGGAGAGTCTGGTCGTTGTCTTTGTGACATTTATAAATCCTTGTGACCCTTTTGGATAGTCTGGTCGCTACCTCTGTGAATCAGCATGAGGCCTGACAGGATGAGAAGTGAACCAATCCACCACTTCAGCGACAGTATTTCATGGAAAAACATCCAACCAATGAGCGCCTGTCATTTAAAACATACAAAAAAAAAAAATAACACTGCAATGATTGTATATTATCCTCATTTAATTTCATTGATTCCATTTGATTATGTTTTTGCACAAAAAGGATTAATAAACCTAAATGCAGGACATACATATATATATGAAAATCTGTAACTTACAGATATCGTTTGTAAATAGAAGTCTTATGAATACTCTTTAACACAGGTATTTGTGTAAATACAATTCCATGAGAAATCTATTTTACACAAATATTACTGTGGATACCTTTTCATAGATATATACTACAAACAAAAAAATGTGTTTCAAATTTTAAGTCTCGTGTAATAATGTTGGTATATGGTACAACTGATTGTCCAAAATCAGCCATAACAAATACTAATGAGACGCTGTAATCTATGAAAGGTGCATAAAGCAGAAACACATTTTGTTATTGTTTTGTTTAAGCTCATATCTTGTTGAAACTTACACTGACTATGAAGTTGGTTGCAGTGTTGATGACAGTGGCCTCTAGTGAGGATGGACACAACTGTAGACTCTTTGTAAAACATGTCCACATCAGGGCATTACTGACAAATATCAGTCCAAAACACAGACCTTGTAGGTACCACATCACCTGTTGGAGCAGAACACAAAAATCGCAAGGTAACAACCGTCTGACAGTGAATCAAAGAGACTTAAGATGAAGTGAAAGCAATACTGCACAGGAACGATTAAATAGCGTGTTGATTCTTATGACTATACAAGTATACAGCCACATGAAACTGATATAAAGGCGGTAGCAGTTATTGATGGAATAAAAAATTCAACCAGAATTTACACATGGTGATAGGGGAAAAGTAAACATATCATCTGTCCTGAGATAAGTTTGGAGACCCATCACATCATCCTTAGCTGTATGTTAGCTTTATCTTCTATCTGTTGTGTCAGCAGTAAATGCATTTTGTGGTAATTTTTGACCAAAACTTTATACTTCATGGTTTGATATCATCTTTTCAAAGTGAGGTAAGTCATTTGACCTATTGACTAGGAAAACCTCTTCTGAAATTTAAGAACATTCACAGGTAAGAACCTGGAGAAAGCAGCTTGTAAATTAGAGAAAGTTCTCCCTACTGACAGTTACTTCTGATGGAAATGATAATAATCCTAAACTGTTAATATATATATGTTTATATATGTTAATTATATGGCAGAATGGTAGCCATCTTGTTCTTCTGATCAGTTTCAAAATTAAACGGGCATAATTAAGGACTGAAGAAAGACGACACATGAAATTTAGAAAGATCTGTGTATTCTTCATGCCCAGCAATTTCGTACATGGTTAAGGCACACTTCCAATTATACAAAATTAGCTTATCCTGCAAGTCTCTAGGCCAAATTTGGTTTAAACCCATTCTTATCGAAGGAGAAAGATTTTATAAGTTTCTATTGTTTCCCCTTTTGGACCCCTTCCCTCTGCCAAGAAAGCCACAGCCTCCTTTTATACAATATTTTGTCCCCTTTACCTACAGATGATCTACAACAAATTTGGTGATACTCCCTCTAATCATACAGAGGAGAAAGCTTTTCAAGGATTTACTTCTATTTCTCCTATTGAGCCCCACCCCTCAGTCCCCAGGGGGCACATCCTCTGTTTATACAGATTTGAATCCCCTTTGCCCACAGATGCTCTAAAACTAGTTTGGTTAAAATATCTTCATTGGTACAAAAGTAGGAATTAAATATTTTCCTCTATATTCCTTATTTGGCCCCACCCCTCTGCCCAAAAGAGGGGAGGGGGGCACATCCTCCATTTATACAAAATTGACTCCCCATTGGTAAGGAAGGCAAAGGTTTGAGGCCCTAGGTGGGTGGGGCACACCCTAATTGTTTATACAAAATTGAGTCTCCTTTGCCCAAAGATGCTCTTGTACAAATTTTGTCAAAAACCCTCCATTGGTTTAGAAAAAGAAAACTTTGCAGATTTCCCTCTTTTATCCTATTTGGCCCCACCCTTGTGGGGGGGGGGGGGCAAACAATTTACTCTCTGTATAAACAAAATTGAACACCATTTGGCCAAGGATACTCCAGACCTTATTTGGTAAAAATCCACTTATCTGTTACGGACTAGTAGCCTTTTAATGGAAAAAGTTGACGGATTGACGACAGATGATGGATGCTGCGCCATGGCATAACCTCACTTAGCCCTTCAGGCCAGGTGAGCTGAAAAGGAACTTTAACTTTCAAAAACCAAGATGGCTTCCCCTCATCTTAATATTTTAACACATTTCATCATTTGACCTTAATTTGGTTCAAGTAATTTTTCCAGCAAGCTAGAAGCCAATTAAAATTACACTAAATATTACAAATCTTGAGTAAAAGTTGTTTGAAGTTTTTAACAATTTATTAGCCCATGTAAATTAACCTAACTTGAAAGTGGCCATGGTCATGATCACAGCAACCTACAAATCACATATCACTACAACATCATCACTCGTGAGACCTTATGGATCTTTTGAAGATACCAAATACTGTTTATAACATATTTGACATTCCATCTTCCCTACCTTGCCACACACAGTTATATCCACCACAACCTCACATCCCTGGAGGATGATGTCACCATTAAAAGCAAGTTTGGCAAACACTGAGCCCAGGGCAGCCATAGTTCCTGCTAGAAGAGCCATCAGATTGCCCTCGCCACGCCCACTTCGGTTGTACTGTTTCTCCATTCTTGATGCTAGTTTTAATCCTCTTGACTTGGAGATCCTGAATGAGAATATACATTTTGTTTTTGAAAATCAAACTTCCACTATCTTTCATTTTCATTAATACCAATTTAATCAAATTCATTAATGGGATTAATGCCACTATCGCTCGCTAGGTGGTGTTGTAGATTTTGAAACTAAAATAGCCAGTAAAAGGTGACGCCAATGACTACAAATGACCTGTTGTTCGCGTCAAAAAAATATATAGCATCATCACTCCCAAACAATAACAACAAAAGAAAGGTTAAGTCAGAAACTAAGAACACAACGACAAATTGAAACGATACTGTATTTTTAAAAAATGGATCTATGCAAACCAGGTGTTTTCTGTAGCACATATTAAACCTGTCATAATGTCTCCAATGAAATGCAAGAAATTAAATCAGTCATCTAAGATCTAAGACCGAACAGTCTTCACCTAATTACATACAGACCAGCACTGTATTGTAGTAGAGCTATAATAGTATTGGTTCAGAAATGTATTTTAGCACTGCATCTGTATAGCCAATTTCTGATCAACTGTAGAACCTTTATCATCCTCATTTGAGAGCATCAAAAAATAAATTTATACTCAATGGAAATAATAATATTTTGATAGACTAAATCTACATTTTTGGTTTACCTACAATATCTAGAATATACAATGAATAATCATGATCTGTAGGCATTGACAAAAATATATATCTCTGAGTTTATACACTTTTTTAGACTAAAATCCTTAAATTACAGAATTAAATTTCATTTTTTAGATATGAAGTGAAAAATGGGCACATAATGACCAACAGCTTTTAATTTTCATAGGTGACACACAACTATGGAGATCTTGAGAATGGTTTTGTTTTGTTTTGTTTAGCGTCCTATCAACAGGTATGGATGTGGGAGATCTTGAGAAGAAATATAAAATAGTTACAACTTTGACTTGAAGTCAGAACTGCCAAAATCAAGATAGCTGTCTCAGGTGGCCATCATGTTTTTCCGATCAGTCCCAAAAATTAATATGTATGAGTATGGGCGACTGAAAAACTTCTTGTTAAATTTGAGAAAGACATTGGGAGCCTCTTGTACTTTCTGACAATTTAGCGCTGACATTATTTTACTCTGGTGCCCTCACAAACATCTTGGTTTTCCGATTTACAGTCCCAAAATTCAATGTGTATCTAGGGACCATGGGAAATTTTCAAAGGAGATTCCTCAAGCACTTTCTAATAAATATCACTAACAAACTTTAAAAATCAAAATTCAAGATGGCCGCATGTCAGCCATCTTGATTTTCTTATCAGACCCGTTATTCGACATGCATAACCAGGGACCATGGGGAACCTTCATGTACAATAATATACAGGGCTAACAAACTTTGACAAAGTCAAGATGGCTGCTTATCGGCCATCTTGGTTTTCTGATTGGTCCCAAAATTCGATATGCATAAATACTAAATTAGGGACGCTGGGGAACCTTGTTCAATTTCATTTCAGTGGCGCTATCATATGCTCCATGAAAATCCAAAAGGAAAGATAGAGATGCATGAAATATAGAGTGAAAAACTCTCGATATGACCTGGAATACTTGATATGCACTTTGATACATGGATGTCTCCATCAATATCTATGTGCGCTGACATATTGCATCTCCGCATCAAATAATATAGGGCCTACTACTTTTATTTTGTTTTATTTCTGAAATCTTTCTATGCACATTCATGTTTATCAAATTGTCGTAAAATAGTGAATTCTTTAAGAAATTATCTCTGATATTTTTATTAATAAAACATTATAAAAAAATACATAATCCGGAAGCCGTAATTTTCTCCGCGGCTTACCGGTGCGAAAATGGCGGAGATCACAGTCAGCATGCGAGCATACTGTAAATTGCTACTACATGCCGCAAAATATCCTCATTGTTCTGTAAATGGCGTACTATTAGCCGAAAATTCTAAGTCTAAAGAACATAGAAATTTAAGATTTGTAGACTGTGTCCCATTATTCCATCTCACACTCGGCCTATCGCCAATGTTGGAGGCAGCACTTCTTCAGGTAACCGGTAACTGTAGTGTAGTACTAAATAGTGATACAAGGGCCGTTTTCGTTTAAACGGTTCAACCGGTCTATATCTGTATGGAATACACTGCTAGATCCCAATTAAGGTTATATTGCAGCGGGTGAGAGAGAGCAGATGTAAGTAATCGCGCGATTCGAGGGCTGATTTAACCGCGCCTCGATATTGTCACAATTCACAACTGAGTCACTTATAGGTGGTTCCAGTCTGTGGTTTCTAACTAGGAACGAGTTCCTGTACTGTTCAGACCTACTTGATGGAACGATGAAACCTCTGTTGTTTAAACGGGCTGAACGGTCGACAATGTTAGTGGTATCAAAGTCCGTATATGATTTGGCACGGATGTTCCTGCTTTGTTTGCAGGCTGACATGACTGGCAGCAACCCCTCAACGACTTTGTAGTAGTAAGTCAGCCTGATGTTGTGGTGGTAACTACAGCTCGGTCGGACCACAGTTGTTTGTTTATTAAATAATGTCGGACCTAGTAATGCTGCTTTCAGGCGAGCCTTGCAAGGCCTGCATACACATTTGCATGTCCGCCAGGATTAATACCCGAAATTGTTACATTTAAAACGGACAAACCGGTTGTTCCGCATAAACGAACAGGCCCTGGCCTTCTCTGCCCCGGCAATAAATACTGTCTAAATATTCAAAATCATTTCAATCTAAAAAGGTTTATAGTATATTCTCGATTTATATTATCATCGTCATCGATGCTTCTCTTTCATATATTAAAGCCACACCCCTTGTCTACTAATATTAATACCTTTACTCTCCATCTAGTGCAGTCGGGGAAACTGCTGTGCCACACCCCATCAATCAGGGTACAGATGTCTGAATCCTAGACGTTTCGGTACCAAGTTTATTGGTTTCCTCAGATACATTACAATGTATATCACGAGGTATCATGATCAAAGTACAATAATACACATTTGTAAAGACAAAATGGATGGCAACTTCACGAAACCGTATGCATGATACATTATCAATAGCTGATACTTGTACTTTATGCTTACAACAGTCTGTTAATTTTTTCCAACAAAAAGCAAATTCCATTTAATACTGTTTTTGTTACCAAATGACAAAAAGACCACTCATTTTAAATTGAGAGGGACAATTTTCTATGGTGTGAAGGAATGTACTTTTCTCTAAGCTCTACAGTATAACATTTGTACATTTCAATAAATGTAACAGGTTGTTATTTTTTCAATGCATCCGCCAGGAGTCGAACCCGGTACCTCTGGTTTGTTAGTCTTATGCTCTACCAAATGAGCTAAAGAGAAATTCTCCCTAGCCGAGGCGGTAGGGAACAGCTAGTATTTTACCAGGGTGACATACTCCCCATCAAGGAAAGCGTGCGAAAATACTTATGAAGTGTTGCTCCGAACCGAAAGAAGAAGAACTTGTCCCAAGTTTTCAAGGGGTCTAAACTTTCTGGCAAATCAACATTTGTTAGATGTATTATGTCAGGAAACATAAAAAACAATTAGAGCATTGAAATAGAAATTAATTTCAAGTATGAAAATCACTTGTCATTGTCTAAAGCTTGAGCTATATTGTAAGTAGAAGATGGAATTAAAATAAAATTATTTTCTGTTGTAGATCGATGGATACTGTAAAAGTGCTGGATATGTGATAGCAGGCTATTACCAGGCTAATGAAAACTATTCAGATTCCGAGTAAGTTGGTTTCATATTTTAGAAAAAGCCATGGACATTTATATTTACAGGGCATGTACAAGCAGACTAAAAATATTAACAAGGCAAATACATTTGGTCATTGCTAATGTTTCCAAGTCGTGCCTCGGAACTGTTTGCCTTGTTGATTGTTTCAGTAGGAATACCTAAATGATGCACAATGTCTTCACAATAAGGAACCTTTATGTACAGTTAAAAATGATAAAATCTGCAGGATTGTGTGTTTGGAAGGGAATATGCCATTGTAATGTCATGCAGAAGTAAAATTGCAAAGAATTTATGATGTCATAAATACTTTACTTGTAATTATGATTTCACAGTAGAGGCATGCAAGACTCCATGACATCACAATACAAAGTAAGGGGATAACGTCCTATTTACAGCATCACAGAACCTTAATGTTCTAGTTCACTGACATCATTCATGCATTTTAAGTTATTCATTTAAAACTTATGTCATTCCTTAATCATTTACCTGTACAGTTTGCATGACTGATCCAAACAGATAACTTATCCAAAGTACATCTTAAGCTCGGTTGAACAGGCACCAGAACAAGGTCACTTTGACCTACATTTCATTAAGAACTTGTCTGGAAGATATCTATAGTACCTTTATATTTGGTATGGATGTAAATCTTGTGAAGACAAAAAAGTGTCATGCAGCTAAATTAGGTCATTCTGACCTTTTACGTACATAGAGGATCTGTGTTTCCCTTCATATTAGATTTATGTACAAGTTTTGGACTTTTGCGAGCAAATATGAAAAATCCAAAGCGAGTATCATCAATTTAATATGAAGGGAAACGAATGACAGATTCTTTTTATTATATAATAATACTAAGTAAACTGTATAATTGTGATCTGAAATAAATATTTTGCACTTGGCCGCCTCTGAAATGATAAAAATTGTGTCCGCTTCACAATGACGTGATCATGACATCACATTGATTGTTCCTATTCAATTTTGACGTCATTTCCGGAGTGATATTACACACGTTACATAAACATAATTCATGTGATGGCTTGATGACACTGCATAACACGGTATTCATATGATAAATTACATTAGCAAATTGTCTGCTCTGCTTTCCAATAAGAGATCTGCTAACCAGTGACTGCTGTTTTGTCCCACAGATTGAACTGTATTGCCCGAGTTGTAGGGAGAAGGGTCAGTGAGAACTGCCAGGACTCGTGTATATTTATGGTGAGTGTCGTTCTTATGTGCATAATATTTACATGTCTGTCATGTGTTACAATCTGTGTTTGTATGTAGCTTTAGTTCAGTAGACCTTTACAGTTCTTGTGAGCTGGCCTTGAGATAATTTCAGCGCTATGTAAATGTTAACTACAGTATGAGAGGATAGTTTTACAAACCTCTCAATGGCAGCTTTTGTTGGATGTCCCTAAAGGTTATAGGTCATCGAGAAAGCACGATAAAGCTTATACATGTACATTGTACTAGGGAGTTTTCACAATATACCCTGCAAATCTGTCCTTTTTTCTGCTTTCAGATTGATAATAAAAGAGTTTCTCCAGAATCTGTTGCAGAGGTCTATAGAACATATTCCTTAAAAGACACATCTTGGAGAGAAAATGAAAAAAGGTGGGTACATTTGTTTTTTATTCCTCATCCCCACACCAAGAGCTACATAGATCTGTCACACTCCAGTGTCATCACTATGCTTTTCTTGCTGTGGTGATTGAAATTAATGCCCCAACAGAATAATGGAGTGGGCATTACGACCCCACAGCATAAAGCTTGATTGGCAGAAGGTGCACTGCTGGCAGGGTATTCATAACTCACAGATTTTGCCAGTTTTGAAATGAGAACATTTATTAGTATGATTCCTTACTCACCCTATAACAATGTGTCTCTTTTGTTTCGAAGATATTATTTAGTCACGATTATTGGATTATCAGACCTGATGGTGGCGTCGACGCTTCCTTGTATTAGCTAGCATGGTCATTTGCTTCAATTAAAATAAGTTGATATATTTATCTGTTGAAAAAAAGGGAATTTAGATGTTCTCGGACAAACTGTTGGTGTTTGCAGATGTTTTCATGCTAAGTGATGAAGTAATGATGATAGCGGCCTAATAACAAGCATTTGTAGTATTGAGTAGCTATAGGCATTGAGATAATTTTACATTTAAATATTCATTGTTCACACAGAGGTAACACATATTTCAAACAATGTAATAGGATATGTTGACAAATCGATGATGAATATGTTTAACTATTATAAACGGGTTTTTTCAGATCAACAGTTGATGAAGAGACAATGGAGACAGCAGCCACGTTGCTCACATCGGGTGCTTACACACAACTCACAGACTTTGATAATCACTTTGATGATTTGACAAATGACTGGCTGAACACACCCATCAATGATATGATCAAACGGTGTACATGAGTACTGAACAGAACAACATTAACAAAATGCAGGATTGATATTGCCCGGCCCTTTTACACTGGTAGGAGTTGGTGCAATATACTGTCCTTTCACTTATGTGGAATACTATGGGTTAAAAGAAAGTGGTTGGCAAGTCAGACAAATTCTTCCCATACCTACCCTGCTTTTCCTATCAGGAACTGTTCCTTCCTCTGATCAAGACTAGTCCATGGTGATAGGGGTGGCAGGGTTCATCTGATAGGCTGCAGAAGAAATTGGACAACAGAATAGTTGACATATATAAAATCTGATAGCGTTGTGTTCAGTTCTTTCTGGCAATGAATTCTTCATTAGTGTGTGGTAGGTCAACTAGAGGCTGACATTGAGGTGTGTGTTAGTGTGTGGTAGGTCAACTAGAGGCTGCTATTGAGGTGTGTGATAGGTCAACTAGAGGCTGACATTGAGGTGTGTGTTAGTTAGTCCGAATTATTCTGACGTTTTTTATCGACTTTTTTCATATCGGTCTGTCGTCGATGAACGTCAGAACTCCGGCCCTCTATAATATGCGGGAAATATGCGACACGCGCCCGGAGCGCACTTCAAACTGTTATTTTAGAAACAAATCGTCACTTTCACACACATGACGCACATGGATCGAAAGATCTATTCTTTCTGCACAAGATGAACATGCATAACATGCCTCAAACAACCAATACAATCACTAAAAACATATTTTTTTAAACTTACTCTGTTTTACTCTCGTTTTTTGATAGCCCCGCCTTCTAATGCCACATGACTAAAATCTCGCCGGCATACGTCATAACGTTGGGAAATACCTTCGGTAACGCGAGATCTCGTCAAGTCATGTGGCATTGCTCATGGCCTAATTTCCATTAAAAACATGGGTTGGTATAGAAAACGTTGGAAAATACTTTTCGTAATGATCTTTGAAATATGTTATTGATACCACCTAGTGCATAAAGAATAGATCTTTCGATCCTTGTGCGACATGTGTGTGAAAGTGACGATTTGTTTCTAAAATAACAGTTTGAAGTGCGCTCTGGGCGCGGGGCGCATATTTCCCGCATTTTATAGAGGGCCGGAGTTCTGACGTTAATCGACGACAGACCGTTATGAAACAAGTCGATAAAACGTCAGATTAATTCGGACTANCGACAGACCGTTATGAAACAAGTCGATAAAACGTCAGATTAATTCGGACTATGTGTTAGTGTGTGGTAGGTCAACTAGAGGCTGACATTGAGGTGTGTGTTAGTGTGTGGTAGGTCAACTAGAGGCTGACATTGAGGTGTGTGTTAGTGTGTGATAGGTCAACTAGAGGCTGCCATTGAGGTGTGTGTTAGTGTGTGATAGGTCAACTAGAGGCTCACATGATTTTGTACCATTCCAACCTATTCTGTATGATAACTGGGTTTTCAGTTCAGGAGCCACATGTAAGTGTTCAATAAAGGTTGGATCTTCCCTATTCAACATAGATATATGTATGTTTTGTTGCAAGTTTTGGCCAAATTTTCAAGAAGTCTTTAATATTTACAGGTCCATAAGGTTTTTACTATCAGAATACCAAACAAATAAGGTGTTTAGCAAACACATAGTAATCATTGTTGATTGCTGGTACAGAGTCTAAATCTGAATGAGTCGGTATACAGGTTCTTTAGCAGTATGTGTTATTTAATTACATGTATATATATACAATGAGAGAGATGGATATATGTGATACTTAACACCATCTGTAAATCACTAGATCGCCAGCAACATTCACTAGAATTTAAATTTGTGAAAGGAACAAGGACGGCTGTATGTTTCTTGTTAAGTTCTATTTGATATTCACATGATATTTGAATTCACTAATGTCTACTCACAGCTTGTAGTTCAAAAACATATATATGGAATGTGGTGATTTAAAAAAAAAATGCAGATGTAATTATATTTTGATTTGTATAAGAATGCAAGTACTCAGATGTTTATTTATATAACGATGTAGGTGTATATGTACTTGGATGTAGATTTACATAAGTTTGTAGACAAAAGTACCCAGATGTTGATTTATGTAAAAATGTAGGTGTCAGTACCCAGATGTTATGTATTCAATACTTATGCACACTTGTCATTGTAACTACACAAAATCACACATTGATTTAGTCCTGTAAATTAAATGTTGTTGTCAATATTGTCGTCCAGAACTTATTTCATCCAACAATTTGTACATTGCAGTCAAACCTCTTCTGAGTGACAAGCGTAACATTTTCAACATGATTGTTATACTTGTTTTGTTTGTGATGCCCATTAGCCCTTTCACCCCTATGTAACTTCAGTAGACTCTTCCATGCATTGATTTGGATGAGTCCATTATGGTCTACAGTGGTGAAAGTGTTAATCAATAGCATACAAATTTATTGATATGTGTGCTACTTGTCTTCATACTTTGACTTGGTACATAATGCTAAAATGAAATTATGATAACTAAAAAACTGACCATTAGATCAGTATTCCGTTTCTCCCAAATCTATGGCAAGTCACCACTATTACTTTTACACATTATTTTGATTCTGCTTTGTTTTTTGCCTGTTCCCTTTGTTTAGGTAGCAGGTTGTATGCCAGTGAGCTGGTATTGGATTCAATGTCAGGTTGTGGTTTGAGGTATTCCCATTATTCTCTCTATTCTTCAGCTTGTACTATAGATTGAGAAGCTCAGGATTTAGTGCCAATAAAAGGGTATTTAGCAAGTTCCTTAGTTAAGTAGTTGATTTTTTAGCATCAAGACCTATCCATTTTGTTCATGCATTACCTTTTAGTTGTTTAACGAGGATGACAGATATCCCAAAAGCAGTCAATGATGAAGCAGTTTTAACAAGTCCTGGTTGTATTAACAGTAATATAACTTATCTTTACCAAGCTAGGGGAATGCTACACTGTTAGCATTTCTGTTCATCATTTACTGTAAATAAACAAGCATTGAATCACCTATATACGTAAACTGAAACTAATATGAAGCTCTCTTCTAGTATTCACATAAATAGTTGTAACGTTACCTGTTCTTAACATTTTGCCAAAACACCCATTTCCAGAGATTCACACAAATGTCTGAATATTGAAATATCATTAAAGTCACTAGTTAAATCAATGGTCCTTTTGTTCTGCTCCCCAGTATCGCAACACACAGTTCTTAACTCTTCAGGAAGTTCTTAACTTGTATATTGTTATATATAAACTCTTCTCTCAAGTGGTTATTAGCTCACCTGTCCGAAGGGCAAGTGAGCTTATGCCATGGTGCGGCATCCGGCGTCAACTTTTTACTTAAACAACTTCTTTTCAGTAACCAAAAGGCCTATGATGATGATATTTGGCCAGTAGCATCCTGGATCCAAGGGCTACCAAGTTTGTTCAAATGAATGACCTTCATCCATTTTCAAGGTCACAGGGGTCAAATATGTTTAAATCTTTGAACGACTTCTGAAGAACCAAGAGGCCTAGGGTGATGGTATTTGGCCAGTGACATGCTGGGATGAAGAGCTACCAAGTTTGTTAAAACAAATGACCTTCACCCATTTTCAAGGTCACAAGGGTCAAATATGTTAAAATCTTTGAACGACTTCTGATGAATAACCAAGAGGGAAAGGATAATGTTATTTGGTCAGTAATATGCTGGGATGAAGGGCTACCAAGTTTGTTCAAACGAATGACCTTCATCTATTTTCAAGGTCACAATGGTCAAACATGTTAAATACCTTTCAACAACTTCTTCTCAGTAACTAAAAGGCTAAGGGTGATGATATTTGACCAGTATCATGCTTGGATGGAGGGCTACCAAGTTTATTCAAACAAATGACCTTCACCCATTTTCAAGGTTTCAGGGGTCAAATATGTTTATAACCTTTAAACAACTTCTTCTGAACTACCAAGAGGCCTAGGGTTATGACATTTGCCAGTTAGATGCTTGGATGAAGGGCTACCAAATATGGTCAAATGAATGAACTTCGCTCATATCCAAGGTCACAGGGGTCAAATATGTTAAAAACTTTGAACGACTTCTGCTGAATAACAAAGAGGCCTAGGGTGATGATATTTGGCCTTTAGAATGCTGGGATGAAGCGCTACCAAGTTTGTTAAAATGAATGACCTTGACAATTATTCAAGGTCACGATGGTCAAATATGTTTAAAACCTTTAAACGACCTCTTCTCAATAAGCAAAAGGCTAAGGGTTATGATATTTGGCCATTAACATGCTGGGATTAAGGACTACCAGGTTTTTTCAAATGAATGACCTTCGCCCATATGCAAGATCACAGTGGTCAATATATGTTTAAATCTTTAAATGACTTGTTCTGTATAACCAAAAGGTCCAGGGTAGTGATATTTTGCCAGAAGCATGCTTGGTTGGACGACTATAAACTCTGCTCAACCTTATGTCCTTGTTCGACATTCAAGGTCACACGCCTCATATGTTTAAATCTTTTAATAGGTTCTTATGAGTCAAACACTGATATTCTGCCTGTAGCTGTATTATAGTCCAATTTAAAGATTATTTGTGAGATTAATACCAGGTGGGCGATTCAGGCCCATTGGGCCTCTTGTTTTAAAACAAAATCTGGAATTTATTTGATTTCAAATCAAGAACGGATTTCATAATCTTGACCCCTTTTATTCAAGTAAAGAACCATTGTGAAACTGAAGCCTGGATATTTACATGTATGTAAACATGGTCATAAGTCTGTACTTCAGACAAATAAATTGTGTTCAAATCAATTGTTTGTATTTTATTCATAATTTAATAGCACAAATACTTGCATATGACATTACACCATCAAGTGCTTTCGCAATTAGTAGACAGTCTTGTTCACTATTTAACTGACATGGAAGATAGATTCACGTGGAATTGCTTGCATTTGTAGCAAAATATTGACCCACTTTTTTATTATTAAAAACGAATGACAAGAGAAGAATCGGAATTATGCAAATTAATAGGAATATAGCAGGACATTATAGAAGACAATGATAATAAATTGGAATATATGACCATTGACAAAACCAAAGTATGAACAATAATATTATATTATGACCTTTGACAAACCAAATGGTCCTACAATATCGCCATAACAAACTTACCTTTGACGGCTCCAATATCCTACAATCTATGACGGACACGTGCACGTCCACATTATTCCCAATCAACTCAAATATAATAACATTTCACTTCGCCTAGATATTCTCAATTCATGACTAGTCTCGTGTCACTTGATTTATATATTGCAAACTCATTATTGTATCGTACTTGATAACCCTAAAGTATTATTGTATCGCATTTGTCTCTGACATACCTAGATAACCCTAACCTATTATTGTATCGTACTTGTCTGACATACCTAGATAACCCTAACTTATTATTGAATGGTACTTGTCTGACATACCTAGATAACCCTAACCTATTATTGTATCGTACTTGTCTGACATACCTAGATAACCCTAACTCATTATTGTATCGTCCTTGTCTCTGACATACCTAGATAACCCTAACTTATTATTGTATGGTACTTGTCTGACATACCTAGATAACCCTAACTTATTATTGTATCGTACATGTCTCTGACATACCTAGATAACCCTAACTTATTATTGTATCGTATTTGTCTATGACATACCTAGATAACACTAACTTATTATTGTATCATACTTGTCTCTGACATACCTAGATAACCCTAACTTATTATTGTATCGTACTTGTCTCTGACATACCTAGATAACCCTAACGTATTATTGTATCGTATTTGTCTCTGACATACCTAGATAACCCTAACGTATTATTGTATCGTATTTGTCTCTGACATACCTAGATAACCCTAACTTATTATAGTATCGTACTTGTCTCTGACATACCTAGATAACCCTAACTTATTATTGTATGGTACCTGTCTCTGACATACCTAGATAACCCTAACTCATTATTGTATCGTATTTGTCTATGACATACCAAGATAACCCTAACTTATTATTGTATCGTACTTGTCTCTGACATACCTAGATAACACTAACTTATTATTGTATCGTACCTGTCTCTGACATACCTAGATAACACTAACCTATTATTGTATCGTACTTGTCTCTGACATACCTAGATAACCCTAACTCATTATTGTATCGTATTTGTCTATGAAATACCAAGATAACCCTAACTTATTATTGTATCGTACTTGTCTCTGACATACCAAGATAACACTAACTTATTATTGTATCGTACCTGTCTCTGACATTCCTAGATAACACTAACCTATTATTGTATCGTGCTTGTCTCTGACATACCTAGATACCCCTAACGTATTATTGTATCGTCCTTGTCTCTGACCTACCTAGATAACCCTAACGTATTATTGTATCGTACTTGTCTCTGACATACATAGATAACACTACCTTATTATTGTATCGTACCTGTCTCTGACATTCCTAGATAACACTAACCTATTATTGTATCGTGCTTGTCTCTGACATACCTAGATACCCCTAACTTATTATTGTATCGTACCTGTCTCTGACATACCTAGATAGCCCTAACGTATTATTGTATGGTACCTGTCTCTGACATACCTAGATAACACTAACCTATTATTGTATCGTACTTGTCTCTGACATACCTAGATAACCCTAACTTATTATTGTATCGTACCTGTCTCTGACATACCTAGATAACCCTAACGTATTATTGTATGGTACCTGTCTCTGACATACCTAGATAACCCTGACCTATTATTGTATCGTACCTGTCTCTGACATACCTAGATAACCCTAACTTATTATTGTATCGTATTTGTCTCTGACATACCTAGATAACACTAACCTATTACTGTATCGTACCTGTCTCTGACATACCTAGATAACCCTAACTTATTATTGTATCGTATTTGTCTCTGACATACCTAGATAACACTAACTTATTATTGTATCGTACTTGTCTCTGACATACCTAGACCATCCAAGCTCATCGTTATAACTTAATAACCTCAGCATACAATGGAAGAAGAAAAAGAAAAAAATCCTTCATTATAAAGATTTTTGGCATATCCAGATATCGCAGTAGCCTCACAACACTGACATATCGGCCTTTGACATGCATATACATCGATCGTCGTCCCACAAGCCAACACTGTAACAGAAATTGTTCATAATTGATTTCTTCAATGTATTCTCACCACACAGGTTCTCGCGCTGAGGACGTAACATTACTTGGGCTTGACATAGATCACATGTCGGTTTTCAATTCGAAGATGAAGCAGTAGACGCTTACCCTTCCGGAACACATGGTCCTATAATCCTTGTATCTTCATTTTGTCATATTTTGCCTTTGTGTTTAGTTCAAATTATGGTTACACTGACTTTAGTTTTTGTCTCTGAACTGCCTTACGTTTTTGCTTGGTAACTTCTGATCTACCATAATTTAAAGTAAGTAATTGATCTACCGCAAAATACTGTTATTGAATGATATATCATCGATGTTTGTTGCTTGATGACCTCTGACCTGTATGTACCATGCATACTGTTATTAGCATACGCCGTATTTCATACAACAATGACTAGATTGATTCATGGAGCCAGTTGTATCCAGGCTCATTAACTTAATGGTAAAGCGAGTCCAGATTTCATTAAATGTTTATTTTCTCATTTTTTTTTTGTTACTTCTTTTTCTTTCTTTTTAATATGCGCATGTTTCAAGTGAGAATGATCATTTGAAATTTCGAGAGTCGTACATATTCAGTTTTCCATTTGACTAATCCTGAAAATATCACCGATATATATATACATGTATATACCATATATATACATGTATATATATATATGACTTTAACATGTCACCGATATATATATATGATTTAACATGTCACCGAGATATATAGAAATTGATGACTTTAACATGTCATCAAAATTATGGTGATTCCGGTGGATACCACAAAGCCCCGAACTCTTTTTGTTTAATTTCTTGATTAACCAACATATCAACTAGTGTTGATTGGTGACACATCAACTAGTGTTGATTGGTGACACATCAACTAGTGTTGATTGGTGACACATCAATTAGTGTTAATTGGTGACACATCAACTAGTGTTGATTGGTGACACATCAACTAGTGTTGATTGGTGACACATCAACTAGTGTTGATTGGTGACATACACCTCTATAATGCTTTTCTATATAAAAACCAATCATTATCTTGTTACGAATGAGCGAACACTAACAAAAGTATTGCATGCATAAATTTTTTATTTATTGAAACAATTTCGACCTCACAAATTTTTAATTATTATTTTCTATTATCACACCTTTACATTTCATTAGTTACTCAATGTTCAATGTTTTAACGACATCTTTCATTGACCTCCCAGGTATCCGCGAAAGACGTGACGTCAGTTGCGAGTTGTCTTGAGGGCATCATCATGTCGTTGTGACGTTCGTTGTCGTAGGTCCCCAGTAGTCCTCCTGTCTTTCCATAGTACCAACCACTCAGTCCGATTTCGTATTTATCACTTGGCACGTTATGACGGACGGTGAATCCATGTCCACTCACTGTGACGTCATCACCCTCATTGACGACAGTTATGTCCTCGTTGTGATATGACATTTCCACAATGGCTCCATCCACTCTTAACTGGAAGCAGACAATTCGATATATATGATTACCATAAACAAGTACTGGAATAACAACATTTACCATTGATAGAGTCCCGGAGTATTACTCAGTAAATGCTCAGATTAGACAGTTTTTCTTCTAATTGTTAAACCTGTAATGTCAGCAAAAACAGGTTATATACATGTACTTGTCCTATAATGAAATTTTTCAAGCACTTTAAGATCATTATTTATGTAAATCAGAAATTGCTTCATTATCATATAGAAGATATTAACGTCCCTCGTTGATAGATAACCTCACCTTGTTCTTTGGTAGGAGTTGTACAGCGTGTTTGGTAGTGGTTATGATAACCCTTCTCTTCTGTTTCCCCATGTAGTCGAGGACGATGGAAAAGTTACCATCCATATAGTCGCCAGCCAGCACGTAGCTACACCTGCCGTTGAACTGGTACGTTTTCCCGTCAAATGTTGTGAATGTGTTGCCCTCTACGGTTCCGAAAGCTGAAGAGTAATTACACAAATATAGATTGAATCCAAACTATCCAATATCTTAAGACAACGATAACTTTCGTTAAAAAAACTAACTTTCAACAGATAAATCATTTTCAGTTTTGACGTGGAAATATATATATGTAAAGCAACAACTTTACTAATTGATTTTGATTAAAAAGCCACACGATATATCATTATCTAAACATCACTTTCCTTCTCCCTCGAAGAGTCGTTAATGACTTTCATTAATACATTGAGGATAATTACCATCAAAAGGTGGCATCCAGGTGCTGAAATCTGAGGATGGTATATAATCGTAGATGGATCTCAATTCACTTATGTCGGGCACGTACGACCGAATGTTGTTGTAGTGTTGGATGACGTCAATGCCTGGTAGAGTTTTCAGAGATTTCATGGGTACAACGAGGTAAGTGTCAGCTTGAACTTCGCCATTTACAGGGTCGAACACAGTTATCTTTGTCTTCTCAAGGTCAGTGATGACAGTTTTCAGCGCTTCAATTTCATCCTCAATTATTTCCATGACGTGATCGTACACACTTGCGAGTGCGGCCTTGGTATTCTCTTCAACTTCCCAGAATTTGTAAGCGGCAGCAGCCTGTATTTGTATAGAAAGACTGCGTTAATGATGTTGCATGTTTTTACGGCATATGGTTTAAGGTTTAATGCTGTCTGTTCACAAAAAGAAATCTCACATCATTGTAATACCACATTTTTTTGTATACAGTAGGAGTATGTTAAATTGTAAATACAGTGTTATGTACCTCTGATTATACTGATACTGTAAGTAAGATTGTAAACACTATCAATGTATATCTGATTATACTGATACTGTAAGTAAGATTGTAAACACTGTTATGTATCTCTGATTACACTGACGTGTAAGTTAGATTGTAAACACTGTTATGGATCTCTGATAACACTGACGTGTAAGTTAGATTGTAAACACTGTTGGGTATCTATGATAACACTGACGTGTAAGTTAGATTGTAAACACTGTTGAGTATCTATGATAACACTGACGTGTAAGTTAGATTGTAAACACTATTATATATCTCTGATTACACTGACGTGTAAGTAAGATTGTAAACACTGTTATGTATCTCTGATTATACTGATACTGTAAGCTAGAATGTAAACACTGTTATGCATCTCTGATTACACTGACGTGTAAGTTAGATTGGAAACACTGTTATGGATCTCTGATTACACTGACGGGTAAGTTAGATTGTAAACACTGTTGGGTATCTATGATACCACTGACGTGTAAGTTAGATTGTAAAAACTGTTATGTATCTCTGATAACACTGACGTGTAAGCTAGATTGTAAACACTGTTATGGATCTCTGATTACACTTACGTGTAAGTTAGATTGTAAACACTATTATATATCTCTGATTACACTGACGTGTAAGTTAGATTGGAAACACTGTTATGGATCTCTGATTACACTGACGTGTACGTTAGATTGTAAACACTGTTATGGATCTCTGATAACACTGACGTGTAAGTTAGATTGTAAACACTGTTATGGATATCTGATTACACTGACGTGTACGTTAGATTGTAATCACTGTTATGGCTCTCTGATTACACTGACGTGTACGTTTGATTGTAAATGCTTTTAGGTGTATTTGATTACGCAATGACGTGTACGTTTGAAATATATTACGTGTCTCCCATATTGTATATTTGAATAAATTCATGGACAATATTTTGAAGAAGTTATTAGTTATAAATGTACATTGCACATTACTTTACATATACATTAGCCTGCTATGTTATAGGGAAAAGACATCATGATGACATACTTTGGATTGAATGAAGTCTACTTCCGGTCGGTCCAACAGTCCGTACAGGGCGGAGTTTATCTGTTCTCTCCCATTGTACAGGGTGGACGTGTATCGCTGAGCTAAGTCGTTGATAGATGGCAATTGGTTAGTGACCTTTGAGACATAGTCGTTGTATTTAGCTTTTGCCAGACGCAGAGTATCCGTGTTCAACGGTTGGGCAATAGCATCTACAGAAAGAGCAGTGATATCATTGTTACGGAACCAGTTATATAGCAATATAAAACGTACGGACGTTCAATGAAAAGACCCAAGTAGTTATACAAAGAATATGTATATGAGACGTACTGGTCATATGGTCGTGGTAGGGTTTGAATGTCAGGAGGGCTGTTGTCGAAAGTTCCCCAAGTTTCACATCCAATGCATTCATCATGGTAGCAAAGTTCCTTCTTGATTCCTGTCCAATCGCCTGCAAATACCAAACCAAAAAGTGATGATTACAACATTTTAAATCATTTGTTTTGGTGCGTTTCTCCTTCAGTTCGAGTTTTGGATTTCAAGATTCAAGATAGCCAATGCGTCACCTATTTTGCCTGTACACATTTTGTGTCCACAAGTATTCGGTAGATTAAAATGGTATCTTTCACGAACAATTAATATTTTTATCCTTGTTAAATAATTATAAAATAACCGATCCAGAACTAGAAAAAAATATTTAGCTATAAAACACAATGCATAAACTACCAAAGGATGAGAACCAGTAAAAGATGTTGTCTTCATAGATACATCATGTAAAATATCATATGAGTATACATATATCATGTAAAATATCATATGAGTATACATACATCATGTAAAATATCATGAGTATACATATATCATGTAAAATATCATATGAGTATACATACATCATGTAAACATATCATCTCACAGGAGTCACAGCTTTGATTTTTTTTCCTTGCTTGGGATGAGTTCTGGAGTTCAGTATCTGAGAAGTTTCTTTTTTACCAAACATTACTTATAACTAAACGTTACATACTGTATACATTTACATCACACCACAAAGACATAAACTATTACAAGGCAATATATATATCCATATATATATTCTGACTTAATAATAATTTCTATCTACATTTCTATTTAAGTGAACTTCAATCTAACTAAATATAAAAATTGTATAGATATAATTATATTGTATATAAGTCAGCTATTCTTTTAATATCAGGATATGAAATGTGTATAAACATGTATACATAGTATACAAGTAAATCCATTTAAAATAAAATATTGTGTATTATATGTAGGTGTTTTTATTGTTAAACTCCTTCACTCTTTATATATGTTTTCAATTGTATTTCATGCATAAACATATATGGATATATATAGAGTCCTATAACCTATAAACAATCTGCTATACAAATGTAGGGGGAAGCTTTACTACCTAAGAAAGTAAGAAATCTTATTTTAAAATAGTTACATCTTTATGTCATATGGATAGGTTGTAATTTATCAATGTTGTTATTTTTATGTAAATACATTTTCCCACTCTTCCCATATTTGGGACATGTATTTATGTGAACAATTTTTTCGATTGTATATCTTTGTGCAATAAATTCTTTTAACACGTTGAAGTTAACTCTGTCTTGTCTTTTTGATGCACAAAAAATAAAGTATTTTGTAAGTAATATAAGGAAGTTGAGAGGTTGTGATGTGACAATGTTAACTGTATGTCCAAACAATATCATTTTCAAATCAAAAACTACTGTTTTATTTGTTTTTTGTTTTATCCATTCTTCTAGTTTGGTCCAAATGACCTGAGCTTCATTACATTCCCAAAACATATGTTCTAAATCTTCTACATTATTTTTGCATAGGTTACACTTGTCATTATTTGTTATGCCAATCTTTTCCAAATATTTATTTACTGGTAGAATTTGATTTTGAATTGTATACTGGAACCATTGTAGTTTTGTATCTTTGGTAGTCTTAAAGGGTTGTAAATAAATTGTATTCCAGTTCAAATATTGGAAAATAGGATTTGTTTTCCATTTAATTTCTGATGTATTGACTATGTTTTTGTGGTTTTGCTCTGTAAGTGCATAATATAAATCTCCACTGCCTTTTTTTTTACTTTTAAATAGAATTTGAGTGTGTAAAGATAAATAAGGTCTTACATTAGTATTGTTATTCAGATATACCTTACATTTTTTAATCACAGATTTAATGGATGCACACAGACTCTTGTAACTTAAAAAAATATTCGATATTACAGAAAACTTGTCTTTGGATTCTTCAAAATTTAAAAATGCTCCATCTCCTTTCATTATGTTAACTTCTGTATTTACACCTTTCTTATGCCAGTCTTCAAAATAAATGTATTGATTCCCTATCTTAAAGTTAGAATTGTACCATAAAGGGGAGGTAAGAAGGTCAGTTTTGGTTCTTATTTTATTTAGTTTTGACACTTTTATCCATGTATTTAGGACTTCTTTCCAAAATAAATTTGTTATATTTAAGTTTTCAAAGAAACCTTCACCAAATTTTGAAAGGCACTGTATGGGACATATTCCATGTTCAAAAATGTTTTTCCATTCCCTTTCACTAGATGTCAAAAGTCTTCTTACCCAAGTAGATTTTAAACTATCAATAAAGTTCCCTATATCTATCATTTTTAAACCTCCTTTATTGTATTGTTTAATTAGAGTGTTCCTTTCCACTTTATCAACAGGTCCTTGCCATATAAATTTAAAAAAGTAGAATTCAATGTTTTAATAAAAGCTCTGTCTGGATTCGGTATAGTCATAAAGAGATGAATCATTTTTGAAAGTATTAATGTTTTTAAAACAGCTATTCTACCTATTGATGTAAGTATTCTTTTAGACCATTGTAGTAATGATTGATTTAAATTTTGTATAGCTTTATGATAGTTAATGTTAATCATTTCATCTAAGTTGACAGAGTAGTCTATTCCAAGAAGGTTAAATTTTGTAATCCCCCATTTTAATTTCCATCTATGGTGGAAGACGTATTGACTGATTTTTTTACTTCATATCCATATCAATTGTGTTTTGTCACTATTCACCTAAAGACCTGATATTTGTGCAAATAATTCTAACATTTGAGTGCCACATTGAAAGATTTCCTAGAACCATTTAAAATAAGAGATGTGTTATCTGCAAACTGTGAGAGCTTGTGTTCTTTTTTCCCTCCTTTATACCCTTAATTTTTGCATTGTTTTTAACCATAATTGCCAATATTTCTGCCACAAGTATAAAAAGATATGGTGAGACAGGGTCGCCCTGACGACAACCGCGTTCTATAGTGAAAAATTCTGATAACCTACCATTTTGTATAATAGCTGATGAAGTGTCTTTATATAGTGTATTGATCCAATGTCTGATACTCGGTCCAAAATTAAAAAAAAGAGATTACTTTGTCTAGAAACTTCTATGATACCGAGTCGAAGGCCTTTTCAAAATCTATTAAAACCAATAATCCAGGAATGTCATTATTTTCTGTATAATTCATTATGTCATATATTAATCTAGTATTCTCTCCAATAAAACTACCCTTTAAAAAACCTGTTTGTGTATCTGAAATTATAAAATCTAAAATTGTTTTCATTCTGTCGACTACGCATGCTGAGGCTAATTTGTAAATTGTATTTAATAATGTAATAGGCCTCCAGTTTTTTTAAAACATTATCTTGGTTTTTCTCCTTTTGGAATACATGTAATAATACCTAGCCTTTGATTTGTGGAGAAAGATCCTTTAGTACATCCCTGGTTTAGTGATCTCAATATAAAATATTTAAGTTCTGGCCATTTTTTTTTAAATTCTGCAGGAAAGCCATCTGTTCCAGGCGATTTATAGTTTTTCATATTTTTTTAAAGCTTTTCCAAGCTCTTCTTCTGTTAAATTTCCTTCTAGTGTTTCTTTTTGATTGTCTGTTAATTTATTTAAATCAAATTCTTTAAGTAAGTTGTCTAGATCAACATCTTCTATACCCTCAGACTGTTCACTGTAAAGTTTTGTGTAAAATGCTTCTATTTCTTTCAGGATTTCCTTTTGTTCAGTAGTTATTTCTCCATCAACTTTTTCTAGTTTATATATTGTTTTGTTAGTAAAATTTTTAGACTCCAGACTGCAGAAGTATTTTGTCACATTTTCCCCCTCTTCTATCTAGTTATCTTTAGACCTTATCAGATGTCCTTTCATTATTGTTTGTCTGATGGTTTCTAATTCTCTTTTTTTTGGTGTAAAATATCAAATTTATTTGCTAAATTGTCTTCAGATTCTATCCTATTTATATTTTCCATTAATATACTTTTTCTTGTCTTTTTGTCTTTTTTGCCTTCTGTATTGCATGAGAAATACTTGTGTTTCTTATTTCCATCAGTAGAGTTTCTAAAAAAAAGGTGGTCGTCGATTGAAAATCTAATATCTTTATTGTCAATTTCTTCTATATTTCCATCATATGTACTATCTGCATATTGTTTCTTTATACGTTCAATTGTATCTTTTACCTTCATATTCATATTCATTATGTTAAATTTCCATAGTTCCTTACCCTGTTCAAAATTGTTAGTCTTTATTTCTAATGTAATGATCGAATGGTCTGTTCTATATCCTGGTTTAATATCTGCTTTATCTACTAAATTTAAAAGATTATCAGTTGTAAGGAAGAAATCTAGCCTAGCTTGCATAATTGTTTTTTTTCCCTCCATGAGTACCTACGGAAGTCTGGATGTAGTATCCTAAAACAGTCAGATAGGTTTTATTCTTCAACTATATCAAGTATGTTTTGCCTATGATTATAGGTATCTTTTTTGAGCATCATTCTAATACTAGTACTTTACTATAGTAAAATAATCATTTCCATGAAGTCGACATTTCTCGATATACTTATTAAAGTCAAAGTAAAGTATTTACCTGCAGTAGTTCCCTTCCACTAACAATGTACTCGTCAACGGAATCCTTCATCGGGTATGACACACGTGAAGAGGCCGCAGTT